TAATAACTTAAATGTAGTATAGTAATAACTAATAAGACTTAAATAGAGGTTAAGTCAATAAAGATTAAGAACTTAGTAAACTAAAATAACTATAAGCTATATATATAGTAATTAGTAAGTAGTTACTAGCTATATAAAGTATATTTAATATTTATAAATAATAAAAGTGAAATAAGGTTTATAATAAGAGTAAACTATATAGTTTATAAAGGTTTAAAGTATAATTATATGTTAATAGAAACTAATATATACTATATACCTATAAGGTATAATATATATAATAAAGATATCCTAGTTATAAAAAATAAAGATAATATAAGTATAGATTATAACTATAAAGTATAATATAAGAGAAGAATTCTTAATAAGTATAAGTATAAAGTAAAAATTAAATAATTATAGATTAAATATATATTAAATACTATAATAAGATAAAAGATTATAATACCTAAAGTATAGAACTTATATATATTGGGGTACCTACTTTTAATACTACTATATATTATAATATAAAACAATATTAATAAAATAATATATATAATACATTATATAATATATAAGAAGAAAGAAATTAGAAAGTTTTCAAATCTTATAACTCTTATAAATATAAAAGGTTATATAGTTAGGTAGTTAGTAAGGCTAGTAATTTACTTACTTAAATAAAAGAGTAATTTAAAAGTAAATATTTTAGCTTTATTTTCTATAAAGCTTAACCTTAATAATAGAAGGCATATTTTATATACTTATTTATACTTCTCTATATATAATATACTATATAATACTTTAAATACTATAGTACTTAATCTCTAGAATATTATAAAATTACTACTTTAATATATATAATATAATATAATACTTACTAACTATTATATATATAGATTCTAAAGACTAGTAGAATACTAATATAAAGAAATTACTTATATTATTTACATTAGCTAGTTAATACTTAGCTGTATCTCCTACTCTTTTTATAGTAAAAAGTAAGTTTAATTAATTTAGTAGTATTAATACTAAAAGAAGAACTAATTTATTTAATACTACTAGAAAAAGATTAATACTTATAAAGAAACAGTAAGAATCTAGTAGTTTAGATAATTTAGATAGTATATTTTATACTCTTAATTAGTTAATATATATAATAATCTCTTAAATATAAGATTTAAATACTTTTTTATAAAATAAGAAATTAGTAGTATTAAGAAAAAACATAATTAGAAAATTTAGAATATAAAAAAAGAATTTAAGTACTAAGTTATATATATTTATATTAAGTTATTATTAGCTAAATATACTTAAATAGCGTTGATTAATTAAAAAAGATCTTAATATATAATAAGAAGTTTATTACTACTCAAATACTAATCTTATTTTACTTATATAGTTTATAGTAAGGCTTTACTATATAAAGTATTTAAATTATACATAGATTAAATAGTTATATAATACCTAAATAAAAGTACTTAAATAGAGTTTATTACTTTTATATTTAATAATACTAATAACCTTTACTTATTTCTTATTTAATATTTAAATATATGTTTTATAGTATTTATAATTAGAATATATAGTATTACTAAGTATAATAAAGTCCTAAAAGTATAATTATACTAAGAAATACTAATATTTATTTTATATCTTGTATTGTTATATTAAATACAAAATATAATACAAAATATAATACAATACAATACAAATACATGTATTGTATCTGTATTGTATTGTATTGTATTTGTATCGTATTTTTATATTATATTATATTTTGTATTTTTCTTTAACTCTCTGAAATTAAGATAAGTAATAAATAGGAGGTGTATTTATAGTTAACCTTTTCTTTATAAAGGGTTACTTACTAAAGGGGTATATACTTAGGGTATACGTAGTATATTACGTATATATTTAGTATTTAGTCCTTACTATTTATCTATCTTCTTACTATAGGTACTTACTACCTTGTCTTATAATATTACTATTAAATATAAGAAGTCTACTAAGTTAATAGCTAATAAATTAATAAAAGTACTTAGTATACTATAATTTACTATATTTATAGCTTAGTTAAGTATTAGTAACTAATATATATAGCTTAAAGTAAATTAATAATAAGAATTAGCTAATATTAAAGTAAAGCTTTACTACTAGATAAAAAAAGAAAATATATAAGATATTAAAGAATAATTAATAAATAAATAGGCTATAAATAAAGAATATTTAGTATAAGTACTATAGTAATTAATTATATTACTAGCACTAAGGGGGTATATTAAATATAGTAAAACTATATATAAATTAGCTAGTAAATACATAGTTACCTTATAGCAAATTATTAGGGAATAGGTAGTAAATTAGCCTTACTTTTAGTAGTAACTTTACTAATAATACTACTAGGATTAGCCTAGGATTTCCTTGTTCTTATAGAATTATACTATAGTTATATAACATATAATAGAATTAATTAATTAACTATTATAATCCCTATAATTTAATAATTAAAGAGTATTAGTTACTATAGTCTTTAAGTAACTAAATACGTCTATAGCTTACTAGTAACTAAAACTAGCTGTAATAGAGGTAATAATAGTAATACGCTAATGTTCTATAAGCTTATTCTTTACCTTATAATTTGCTAATAATAGAGAAGAAAGTAGCTATAAATTGCCTATTTTTAATTCTGTAATAGGACTTTAAAGGAGGAGAGATAAATTTGTTACTGCAATTAAATAGTTACGCACTTATAAGAGCCATAATATCTAACTGTGTTTAGCTTAATAGTATAGACTAGTACCCCTAGGTAGCCTATTGTTCTATAAGGCTGTTTAGGAAATAATCAAGTTAATATAAGTTAAGTAATCCTAGACTTATAAGCCTCTACTTTATATATAACTCTAAGCTAATTAGGGTTACGTAATACCTAGGAATGCTTACTAAATAACAGTCTGAGGGTTTTGTGCGTCTATTTATATTGAACGCGCTCCCTCTACTCACTAGTTTTTTCCTCATCTCTATTATTTAATAACAGATTGAATTGCAGGCACACAATGGGGTCCCTAGCAAACGATAAGACAGTTCTAATCACTGGGTAAGCAAAATCTTGTCACAATCTTATCCCTGCCCACTAGCAAAACATTGACGTCCACAAGGTTCCAGTGCTGACGCGATCCACAGCTGCACCCCAGGAGGGATTGGCCACGCCCTGGCTAAGGAATTCCACGCCAAAGGTGGGTGGAATCAGCGTTTCAACCTTTCATTTACCGCCCCTGTTTCGACAATTAGTATTGAAGTCGATGCGCTATACTCACAAGAACTTGCTCATAGGCCTTCATGTCATCGCCACGGCCCGTCGACCCGAAGTCCTCCAAGACTTGAGCGACTTGGGGTTGTCGACCCTATCGCTGGATGTAGCCAATTCCGAGAGCATAGCCGCTTGCAAGAAGACTGTCGCAGAACTAACAGGAGGCCGTCTTGACTTCCTTGTTAACAATGCGTAAGCCTACCCTAGGTAGAGGTGCAATCGCGGTGAAGCTGTATACCGGGTAAACCGGACACGTACGACGCACAACTCTGACAATTCGGCAGTGGCGTTACCCACACAATTCCTGCTACCGACATCAACATGGACGAGGTACGACAGACATTTGAAACAAATGTTTTTGGCGTCATGGCCATGGTCCAGGCCTTCGTCCCCATGTTGATCCCAACTCGGGGTCTTATCATTATGATTAGTAGCCTTTCTGCAATCTCGCCTTATGTCTTCGGTTCGGTGTATACGGCTAGCAAAGGAGCCCTGAACTCCTACAGCCGCACCCTTCGCCAAGAGTTGCGTCCCTTTGGTGTTCGCGTCATGATTTCTATGACAGGAACTGTCAAGAGCCAGATTGCGAAGCTGAACCGTGAATTGCCGCCAAACTCCCTTTACGCTCAGGCTAAAGATATTTACTCCAAACGCCTGACTTTCTCTCAGAACAACGCCACTGTTTCCGCAGAAGGCTTCGCGCAGCAACTCGTAGCAGAGGCATTGAAAGGAGAAGGTTCGCTGGGTGGCTGGGTTGGTGGTGCGACAAATTGGTTCTGGGCTGGAGGGATGGCTGGATCAGTTTGGCTTGCAAGACTGCTCTTTGGGGAGTGGCTACTGGATGAACTTGCTTATCGGAAGTTTGAGTTGTCTAGACTAGAGGCTATTGTCCGCAAAGAGGGTATGAAACGGCTGGACTAATCACGGCTCGTCTCCGACACGAGTGATCATGGTTTCAAAAGCTATCAAGCCCTCCTGTAGTTGTGGTAACATTTTTTCTCCGACCCTTACAAATCTTCCTCGTCCCCTGAATGCGACTTTGTGGTGCTTGCCTCTCTATCTCTAAGACCCAAGAACATTACCAGCATCAAAAAGTCGTAGACAGCCTTCATAACTCCAGCTCCCGAAAGGGCGACAATCCAAAGATGTCTTCCCGAGAGAAAGCCTGCAGACCCAATGCCGCCTGCCTGCGCCAATGTCTTAACAGTATTTACTACGCCTAAAACTGCCGTTCTCTCGCTCGGAAGGACCGCAGCTGCGAGGAATGCTTGTCTTGGTGCCTGGTCCATACTCTGTGTACAAGCCCGGAGAGCCAAAAATGCCATAGCAACCCAAGTTCCTAGAGGGCTAGTCGAGGGCAACGGTATCATCACAAGGAAGATAGCCGAGGGAAAATGCGTAAACACCATGGTTTTGAGCGGACCGAGACGACGGGCCAGGGGAAGAGCGGCGATGTTAGAGATCGTGGCGAGGAGATTCGTTACCAGGAATAGTGTGCCCAGTGATCCTGGGTGAAGTGAATGAACCGTGGTGAAGAAATAGGTTAACCAAGAGGGCGATGCCATTCCCGAGGCAAAGGAGTCGATGCAGAACGGAAGAAGTAATCGGAATAAAATAGACCGAGACAACGGAGATATATAGGGTACCAAAGCCCGCATACGCTCTGATATGCTTGGGAAAGGACGATTCTCTTCTGTCGACTGCCGAGGATGATTTTCTCTTCTGCCCGAATCAGTGAGCAACGATTGGTGTTCCTCACTGGCTCGTACAAGTGCACTATTAGACTTGACCGGTGCTACCTCGACACTAGAGGTGAGGCCGAGAATGAGCATCAACTTCAGCGCACCAAGACCGGCGTAGACGATGAACACGACTCTGTATGCTTCGCGAGGACTCCAGGCTTCGTTGTGCTCCAGGAATTGTACAGTCCAACCGCATGTAAGTGTACCAAAGGCAGCGCCTGCCGAGCCAAATAGAGTATACCAAGCGAAGATGTCACTTCGCTTATCGCGTACCGTGAGTTGCGCAAGGATCGACTCTTCAACTGCCCGGAAAGGGCCAATCTCGTTGCCGCTTGGACTTATGACACCAAAAATACCAGCGGCAACCAAGATCCAGTAGTTGTCAGCCCATAAAAAGACCAGACCGCTGATCATCATCAAACACGCACCAGCTCCAAGAACATTTCTCCTACCGACTTGGTCGGTGATTGCTGTCAGCAAGAAGCTGATGACGACATCCCCGAGAAGCGTGAGGGTCATGAACAGGCCGATTCGCTCGTCAGAGAAGTTGAGACTGGAGAGAAAGTGAACGAGAATGAGAAAAGAGGCGCCGTAGGCAAATAGTCGGACGAAACGCTGTAAACAAAGTAGTTTCGTGTCGCGACAGGATTCAAAAATAGAGGCGAAGCCACTCTCTGCCCCAAGCTGCGACAACCATGAGACCGGTTCGGACGACATGATCGATATTAGTTCTATCAAGAGCCCTTCTAAGTGGTTAGAAATTAAGTGACAGCGACAAAGAAAGGGACCGCCAAATATATATGTCGGCGATGGAAGCATGCGTGGATTGTGTGCTCGGACTTATGATAGGCGTAGTTGGAGCCTACGGAGATAATGTCGGCTATGGAGAGAAAATCGAATGCTTATAGGCTAATACAAGGGTGGTGAGTATCACGTGTTTGAGGCCATTCCTGTGGCGCGCACGCGACGAATATGATTTTGTTTTCAAGGAACACAGATGGGTTCTGGAAGCAGTAAGTTACAGTTGCCGAACACCCGCGCCCGCGCCCGAGTCCTCAATTCGTAGGGATGCCAAGCTTTGGCTGGGTCAATCCCCAAAGTGGCTAGTGTTTCAGGGAGTGACAGTAGTCACAGCGGCCAGTGAGACCGGAGCAGACATTCGCCCCTGAAGCATGTCTCCAAGTGCCGCAGTACAATTCGGTGCCATCCGACTAACATATACTAGAAACCAAACTTACCATTATTGAAGACTAGGAAAAAACATGGTGCGAGCACTATGTGCCGCATGCTTGTTGTTGTTGTTGTTGTTGTTGTTGTTGTTGTTGTTGTTGTTGTTGTTGTTGTTGTTGTATTTAACGCCGGGCCGTCCCTATTTAGGGTCAAGGGCGCCTAGGCAGGTCTACTTTAGTGTACAAATATACTCTATTGCTCCCTCCTAGGAATCTTTTAGTTGCTTGTCCGTTGCTGTCAAGTGCCCAAGGCTCTTCAGTGTCCAGGTTCTGCCTCGGTCTCCTCCTCACCGCGTCTCTCGCCGCGGTTAGGGGGCGTCCGTGTACCTAAATGTACAGTGCTATTAGCACATCCTTACCTCTGTTAGGTATACCTAGGTGTTATTCTAGTGTATATGTACCTGCCCTATAGTGTAAGCAAACTGTCCTAGTACATTTTTAGACGTTACATAAATATTCTTTAAAAAGAGGGGGGGTAAAAGGAAAAAAAAGAAAGGAAAGGTTTATAGTGTAGTGTGTATATGTGTGTGTGTAGTAGGTAGATAGGAGGAGAAATCCCTGTTATCTGTAGTCCCTGTAGTTCTACACTTAGGTAATATCGTTATAGCTATTATAACTGTGTTAACGTCTACTGTAGTGGAAAGTGTAAGATTAATACATGTCGTAGCCTCTTATAGAGCCAGTGTGTCGTAGAGGTAGTCTGCCTGATAAATGCTCGCAGTGGCAGCCTTAGCTGCTATGCGTCCGGGGGGCTGTATGTGCCGCATGCGAGGCCGTAGACAGGCATTAGAATAAAAAGCCTGCGAGAATGCGGCAAGTCCCGAATCGTAGGGCTATTGACAGAAACTCAATCCTAGCTCACACACCAATTGAAATCATGTTACAAAATCAGGAGGGTTAACAATGAAGCATTTTAGAGGCTGCTAGCAGTATATGTTTCTAGATGGTCTATGGCGATACGTGTTGTTGTCCACCGTAGTAGACACACCTCGCCTTGACCTTTATCATGTGTAATAAGACACAGGGCGTATAAATGTATTTGATTCTAGGAATATATTACCCAGTTCGTTGGTTGTCTAGGTTTCTTAAGTCCTAAAAAATAGAATTTCTCACTTGTTGTCTAGCAACATTGATGTAATTTCTAAGGACTTACGAAATTAGCGAAAGAAACAATATTTAGAAATGATTGCTATAAGTGCATTCTAAGATTCACTATCTCGGTCATTACTTGCTTTCAAGTTGAATTCCTGGTGGGCATTTTTGTGTTTAAATCAGACACTAACCCTCTTGATATTTACTTTAGTTGCTGTTTAGTAAACTAACCATACAATTTAGTCTCTATCAATTGCAAGTAGGAGCACACAGCAAGGTACATAAGAATAGGAGTAAGAAGGGTGATTCCTCAAGAAGCAGTACTAGGGAAAAAAGGATCCTAAACATACATAAGTAACGCGAGTAATAAGTGAAACACTACGAGATATAGTCCCTGGCAGACCACCTGACTATACTGTAAAGAGATATAGAGGTACTAATCCTCTAGAGTTTAGATTCCTAACAAGGACTTCAGGGTGAGAGAAGACTGAAATTAGGAATATAATATTAGATAAAAGATAGATAACACAACATTACATTGCAGAGTAGGGAACTATTTCTAATATAATTATTACTAGCAGCTTACTAACTATTCTTAATCACAAGTATGAAGAAGGTAAATTATCAATTAGATATACCTATGTCACCGCCCTGAGGCATCTAGCTGATGTAAACATCAAGAGGCACTACTGTTATAGATCTGACAATAAGAATTTGTAGACGAACTTCATTTTGTAGAACTCTCAGTTATCCATTCTTCTAGATCTGCTCAAATCCACTAGAATTCCACAGTGGATAGCCGATTCTGCTATCTAGCTGTGATGCCACAATGAATTTCGCTCTCAACATCATGGTGATTGAGAACACCATGCGGATAACCTCAAAGTAGCGGCATCACTGCGGTATTGTTATAGTCAGCCGCGCCTTCCGCGCATTCTATTCGGTCCATGCAAGTACCGAAAACACGATCCCACAGCCTCGTATGCTTCCCGTAGTTCCCGCTGCTTTTCCACCCCTTTCGATGATGTAGATCGTGGTCCTCTAGGACAAGCTCGCTCCTAAACCACTTGAGGGGCAATGCGAATGGACTAGGAGTAGTAGCCCAAATGCGAAGGCCGCTGTGTCCTGTAAGCTCTGTGAAAATAACATATTCCTGACAGAACCACCACTCGTAAAATCCCATTGGAAAACCAAGAGATTTCAGTGTAGCCCACGTCAAGAATGGTATCCCAGCAATATCCCAAAACTCCTGTTCGCTGTCGGCAAAAATTGTCAATAAAGGGTTTGGGTGCTTGGTCAGATGATGGGTCCGGTGATATTTCCACAGGAAATCAACCTCGTGCATCAGCCGATGGTACCAGTAAAACCAAAAGTCCAACACTATCCCATATAAACCAATCTCCAACGGTAGCAGCTTCCAGTTGATTGTGCTTGGGGCATCATCGCTTCGATATGCCAAGATAACTGCCATCATCGCCCTGAATGTCGCTGTAGAGATGAGAGAACGCAGGACGGTTTGGACACTATTGTCTGGTACGCCATCACGCTCGTGCTTGTCGCCATCGAGATAGCCATAACGCTGACCGACTGCTCTCATGGTGTTAATTTGGTGAATGGCGATTAACTTGATGGCGGTACTGTAGAATATAAAGGCAGCGACCGGGTGGATTTTGTACCCTGTCCAGGAGATTACTGCCTGGTGAATGAGGAGAGGAATCGTGGCGTGCAGGAGAATCCATCGATGAAGTTGCCAATGTGGCATATATGGAACGGGATCTCCTTTGGCGTGGATGGGTGCAGGCCGATCTAACTCATCATGGTATAGACCGAATTTCTCGATGAGATAGTTGCCAAGTTTCCAATTATGTCTGTCGCCTCGTCTCCATGTCGATTTCATAGGATCTTTCCTTTCACCCATTATAGTTGAAGGAACGGAAGTTGTGGTGATAGTCCAAGACATTTTTAAGTAAAAGCGCAAGTTCTTTTTTTTGCCTTCTTTTTTTTAACACTGCGCTGCCAGTTGGAAAACAGTTTATCAACAGAAGCGACAGATTCCACGCCTCATATATAGTTTCATCTCATTATGACCCTCGGCAGTCTCGTCTTCACGTGTTTCAACCAGCTATCAGATAAGCTCGGACAGTACGTCACACATTTCAGAAGCATTGACACCTCCTAGTGTTGGCACAGCAGACAGCGTTACGCTTTGGTCAGAATGCAGAGCCCCGGTGTCAAATGTGAAAATGTTTTACTTCTTCCGAGGTTCATGTGGATCTCTTACACCCAAATGCTCGCAACGCATAGTCATCGCACAATACAGCCGAGGTTGTTACACTGACGTGCTCCATAGTCCTCGCCAGATTGCGTTCATCTTGGCTTGTTAGTTGCAAAAACATTAGAAGTATTCCACAGGTACCTTTGTAAATAATCTCAAAATTTTAGACAATTACAGATATTAAATTGTCCAGTATAGGCATATAATCTTATGAAATGGTTAGGTAGTATTTTCACATGCAAAAGGAAGGTGAGGACAGTTTTGAGAACTTACTGTGTTGAAAATAGGAATAGTAGGGCAACGTGGGCAAAGAGGGTGAACGTTCTAGACTAATTAGGCTTTGTAGATTACTCTCATGACCTTCTTAGACACTATAGGTTGTATAGGTTCTCTTATTACTTATAGTATAGAGATATATTTAAAGTTATTGACAAAAATACTACTAGTTCTCAACTTAAATTATAGAAAATTAAATGATCTTGCTAATTGTATTTAGATCTAGTATACATCTTTTACTGTTGGCCTAACTCTAATAATTCCAAGCAAGAGCTACACAAATTAAAGTCTATTAACCCTGTATTTATTTAAAGACATAATAATAAACTTAATGGACTAATAAACTAAATACTTGCTGCTGCAACCTTGTTAACCAAGCTAAGAATTCCCGCTGCAGTAATTGGTGAAGCCGATCTAGAAAACCCTTCTTCAAAGGGAAGACGTTCTTTCTCTGCACGTTGTGAGCTTAATAACTTTACCAGGGATCAGGTATACATACCAAACAGCACTCTAACCCAATCGGTCCTGGCATTGCCATCATCCAAGTTGCCAAATACAGACTGATAGAGAGCAGTTTCAATGAAGCTGAACTGAGTACCATCGGCCGTAAGATTGAATTGTGGGTTGGCAGCGGCAGCGGCTTGAAGACGTGCTACTCTGGCCTTTGCGGCTGTCGGAATCGAGATAGTTGAATCAGTAAAGTAAGACGCCACAGACTCCCAAATGGTCATGTTGAACGAGTGGTTGTCGCCAAAATAGATGTCGTTGCGACTCAAACTACCGTCATGCTCAATAACTGGTGTAATAATGCGGTCAGTCTTAAGCTTTTAAGGGAAGAAACGGAAACTCACTCCCGTGGGTGTTCAGATCGTCCAAGTTGAATGTCGCGTTATTTCCAGTAGTAGAAGTGAGAAGGGCTTTTTGTCCAACCAGGGTGGTTGCAGCGGGATCCAAGTTTACGGCAGCTGTGAAGCCAGTAATGAGGTCTGCAAGGGAGACATTCAACCCATTACGAGGGAGATACCCATGATTGGCGAGAGCGTTAACCATGGGACACGGGCTGCGGCCTGATTTTTGTTAGACACGGACTTCGGAATCATTGAATTAAAGCCTTACGATCACCGACATTGGGTGCAGACCAATCATTTGCACCACGCCGCACTGCAAATGCATCTGCTGTGAATGCAAGACACAGTAACAGCGTAGACTTGAGAATCATGATGGGCAAATCAACACGTTGCAAAACAAAAGAATGGCAGGTTCTTTGATAGAACAGTGAGAAAGTTTGTGCAACAGAAGAAGGGAGCTTGCGGATGTCTTCAGAGTGGAAGAGCAGACCTGTTTAAGTTCTACAGATGTTCTACTCCAAGGCACCAATCTACTGCGTGCATTACTGCGTGCATTAGCTCACGGCATTGCCGGTCGGCTCGAGTCATCCCTTATCAGCGCCTCATGCTGTCTAGGATGCCGAATCCAGTCTGTATGTGCAGTACGCGAAATTGCTATTTGCCCCTGGATGGAATTGACGGGGAGCGGTTGACGGGAAATACCCCTAATTAGGTAGGGTAGCAGTCAGAAGCTTGTCAGCAATACATAGTAGGACTTCGCCGATGCTTATGTGACCCACAGTAACCAAATTTCTAAAAGTCATTATCAATATTCCCTTGGTCATATGTCGGGTTGATTACCCTTTTGGATTATCCCCGAGCATAGTTCAAGGTGTCAATACGTACATAGTAAAAACGATACGGATATACTACTACGTATGATGGGTAAGTACGGATATAAACTCCCTAGCAGGTAGTGTGGAGTTGTGACCCACGTATGAGAGACTCTCACTGGCCAGAATTATGATAGATGTGCACAAGAACCTCAAAGTACCGTCACTGAAATAATCAAAAAAAGCACGGCCACATTTACCTGACGGGGGGGTTAAACTTTGGCCCGATAGAGTCTATAGACAAGCTGATCATGCCCCCCCCCTGACAACCCAAGAGTACCGTGCACAATAACCAATAGGGTTAGCCTGACAGTAGAGTACGTGATAGGGTTCCAACTAATAGATACGTCCGCACACGTCAAAAGGGTCTATAGGTCTAAGTAAAACAAGAATTTTTGTTCTTCTTGCTCTATATAGTCTAGTGGTAAGTAGTGCTCCTAATAATATAAAGGCTTTAGGTTTAACCCTAGCTTTTTGTGACTTTTTCTTTAGGTAATTCTAAAACGGCTCTGCTAGGCAGGGCTGGAATGGTCTGTCCTACCCTACTTCCTCTGCTGTGCTCTAGGTTAGGATGGGCCAAGACTAACCCTTTTTGTTGCCTCTGTTTTTTACCTCTGTTTTTTACCTCTGTTTTTTGCCTCTGTTTCCCTCTATCTATACCCTATCTATTGGCTATAACTATATCTATTGTCAACTCAAGCCTGCACGGGCTAGCGCGTATGGTACTCTCGGGTTGTCAAGGGGGGGCATTATCAGCTTGTCTGATCGCTCGGCCCGATACCATAGTATGGCATGGGTATTTAGCTATTGTATCTAGCCACTTTAAGTAAGTGGATCCACAGCCACAGCACGTCGTGGGCTCGCCGAGTCACTTGTCTGGTAGACTGGCACGGGCCTATACACCAGGCTCGTCGTTACCTTAGGAGTCTGCACATAAATCCTAAATCTACACCTGCTTTTAAATCTTAATAGAGACTTACCTAGCTATATCTAAGTAGCTGAGATTAGTAATATTAAAAGATATATCTTAAAGATTACTTTTAGTATAAATCTTTTGCTAAGAAATAGGTTTACTTCTATATTATTATATTTATTTTTAATAGAATTTATTTTTATTCTTTTAGTTAGGATTTCTTAAAAAGTAATTTTGTTTAGTTTTATAGTAAGGCTTTACTACTTTAAAAGGGACTTTAAGCAGACTTATTTATATATAATTAGTATAAGACTATATAAGTAGAGGATTTTATTAACTTTACTTTACTATACTTTTAAATTTATAAAACTATATATATATAATATTAAGTAAGATCTATATTTAAATACTTTTCTTTAAGTAATTAGAATAATAAAAACTAAGTACTTATAAAATATTATAGTACTATAGTAAGTATTAAATATATAAGAAGTAGCTTTAAAGTCTAAGTAAGATATATTATTATACTTATTAATTAAATATTTTAATATACTATATAGTAAGTTATAGATTATAGTTAGTTATATATACTTACTACTATTCTACCTCTTTTACCTTTACACCTACTTTTCTTTATATATAAACATAAACTCTTCCTTTAAAGAAAGCTAAATTATTTTTACCCTCTAAGCTATCTAAAAAGACCTAAGAATGCCTATATAAAAAGCAGCTTATACCTTTAAGGTCCTTAGATAAACCCTTAATAACTAATATACTAGATATATTATATAAGCTAAGATATATTTAAGATTAAAAAAGATACTAAAAGTAAAAAAAGAGGTAATTCTTAAGAATATTATTACCTTTAATTAATTAAAGGTTTTCTTAATAATAAGATAATAAATATAATATAACTAACTAACTTTTAAATAGATATAATATAATATATCTTACACCTTTATAAGTAAAGAACTTTATATAATAATAGCCTTAATTAAAAATATAATTTTAATATTAAATTAACTACTAAAGGGTATTAACTAAAGATTTTATAATTATATAAGGCTAGTTAATACTTATATAAAATATAATTATAAAGTATAAGATATAAGATTATAATACTTATAATTTTAAGAAGACTAAGCTCTTAATAGAAATATTATTATATATAGAGGTTATTATAACCTTTAATTATAAAGAAAGACCTTATATAAAGTAGCTTAGTAATTAAGAATAGGTTTTTATTATTTAAAGTATATATATAAATAGCTAGGTAATAGCTTTATATATTATTATAAAAAGTAAATATTACTTTCTTTTTTAGTACTAAAATAGCTAATTCTTAGCTAAGTAGTATATTTACTTAAGTAAAAATAAATAAATAATAAATAAGATTAGCTTAAATTAGTTAAATATTTTAACTAATATATAAAGTTTTATATAAAAAGTACTTATTAACTCCTAGTCCTTAATAGCTATAATAACTATAATAGCTATAAATTAACTAACTTTAATAGTCTTTATAAGAAATAAAGAATTATTACTTTATATATACCTTTTTACTTATTATATAAGCTTTAGCCTCTTAATATAACTTATTTTAGCTTATTAGAGCTTTTATATAATAGGGAAATTAAGAAAATAATATAAATATAGATTTTATATATTATAAAGAATAACCTTTTTCTTACCTTTAATAGAGTATTTTTTACTTTAATAAAATAAAGAAATATATAAGCTAGCTTTAAACAGGCTAGCCTTATATCTTTTCATCTTAAAGTAGTTATTTCTTACTTAGACTTTTAGCTAAATATACTAATACTTATTAGCTTATATCTACCTAGCTTAGGCTTATAAGACCTAAAAGTACTAATTATAGTACTAAAGAGTATATAAAGTACTAGTTTACTAAAAAAAGAAATCTAAAGATATTAAAGAAGCTTACTAATACTAATATATAAGGTAATTAACTTTTAAGCTAAAAGTATTAGTAAGTTAGTATATAAGCTTACTTTTATTAAGACTAAGAACCTTAGAGTTTATATAGAAATTATATATTAAGTAAGTATAAAGAGCTAAAAAGACCTAACTATATCTTAAAAGGTTACTTAATATAGCTAAGGTAAAAGTATTATAAGAAGAAGAAAAAGGTATTAAAGCTAGAAGTAAGAAAACGTCTTAAAAAAAGGTTATATAAAAGGTAATAAACTATATATATAATAATATAGTAATTATAAAAAGACTAAATATAATATATAAACCTAAAGGGTAGTTTAAGATAGTAATAAAGAAGATAGTAATAAGTAGTTTTAATTAAATCTTTTATATTATAGCTTAATTAACTTATAAAAACTATAAAAAGATAAAAGTAAGTATATAACTAACTATAATCTTTAACTTACTATATAAGTATATTTAAGAAAGTAATTATATTTATAATAGCCTTAAATATATATAAATAAGTTAACTATCTAAAGTAAATAATAACTAAAACATAAATACTATTATAATATTTAATAGTAATAAGCTTTTTAAAGTCTAGTATATTTATACTATTTAGTCTATTAAATTCTTAGCTTATAAGTAAGCTAGTATTAAAATACTTTACTACTTAGGCTTTTATATAAAGCTTAATAGTAGTTTATTTACTATTTACTTTACTATAAGCTAGTATTAAAAAGGTTATCTATTTATAGATATCTTACTTTCTTATTCCTCCTAGAAAGGCTTTAACTATCTTATCTTATATATACTTAGGAAAGGTTTTAAGTAGGCTTTATATAATAATACATTATTATACCCCTAGGTCTATATATCTAGTAAATAAAGCAGCTACTATAAATCTATAAAAGTAAATTTTAGTATAGATAACTATATAAAGCTAGACTAATAGTTTTATTATAGTTTAAAGTTAGCTTTATATAGTAGCTTTACTTTATACTATAGGTTTTATAAACTAATAAACCTAAGTATAAACCTAATAAATATAGTTAAATAACTAAATATATATATATATAATATAACTATAATAGCTATAAGCTTTAAATATACATTAGTTATTATAGTATTTATTATAAACTATTTCTTAATAACTATTTTATTATCTTATTTTATAAAGTAAAACAAGTCTTTAACTTCTAACTATTTAACTATTTTACT